AAAAAAAAAAAAAAAAAAAAAAGGAAAAGCAGTGTTTCTCTCCTTGGCGGCCGGGAGTGGGAGACTCCCGGAGTGCCAGGGAGAGTTAGGCTCCCTGGAGATCAGTGTCCCTGGTTAGCTGGTAACCAGGGACGCTGATCTCTCTGCAAGTGGCCGGAGCCAGCCGTAAGATCATGCCTGTCTCTGCCCAGCTGTCAGAAGCAGGCTTTCAGCGCGGCTCAGCCGAGCCAAGGCATATGCGTTTGGCTCGACTGAACCGCTCGGCCAAGTTCGGGAGGTGTACGGGCTATAGTGAATAGCCCGTACAGCAGCCCTTCAGTTCTACTGAACCGAAGGGGTCCTGGGGCCGGAGCTAGGCAAAGTACTTTGGCCGAAGCTACGGCTAGATCCTTCGGCTGCTTCGTGAATAGACCCCTAAGTGTTGGGCTTTCAGAATTGAAGGAAGTTTTGAGTACATCTGAGCCTAAAATAAATAAGTGGGTATACATGAGTGGGTATACATCTCTTTGCGCATCTGGCTCAATGTATGTGTTTCTTGAATATACGTTCGAGGGTAAATACTGTTGCACCAGATGTGAACTAGTTGCTTGTTTGAAAGCCCAGATCCTGGATCTAAACAATAAACTGGCAACACTGCGACGCATAAACAACATGGAGAGGAGTCTGGATCTAACACATCAGGTTCTGGTGGAGGGTGATGTAGAGGAGGAGGGGGGAGTGGAGGAGCAGGATCCTGAGGTGTGTAGCTGGGTTACTGTTAGAAGGTGGGGTAGAGGGAAGAGTACGAGAGAGGCTAGCCCTGAACTGATACACCCCAATAAATATGCCAGGTTGCAGGATGTTAGTTCAGGGGTGGCATTGCTGGAGGAGGACGCTTCCCCTATCCGCAGGGGGAGCGATTTCTCCAGTAAGGATGGGAGCAGGATGGAGGGACGGGAAAGACAGATTTTGGTGGTGGGGATTCCATTATCAGATGTACAGACAGGGTAATCTGCAATCGGGACCATGAGCGTCGAACAGTCTGTTGCTTAACGGGGGCTCGTGTTCGACACATTGCGGAACAGATGGACAGGTTGCTGGATGGGGTTGGGCATGACCCACCTGTCATGGTGCATATCGGCACCAATGACAAAATAGGAGGCAAA